ATGTACACATACAACAACGAAATTAGTTCTCTGCATTTAACCCATCACTCCTAAGATACACCCAGGTGGAGCAGTGGGCAGCTATGTAGGCACCCGGGGAGCAATTAGGGATTGGGTGTCTTGCTCAGGGACACCACGACGTGGGAATGGCGGGGAGTTGAACCTGCAACTTTCTGGTCTCAAGTCGGCTGGCCTACCTCTACATCATCTTGCCCCCTCAAAAAAGCACTCTAGTTTAGAAAACACATTCTGGTGTAGAATAAAGCTCTCAAATGATCTGTTTGTGCTCAGAGTATCGGAGCTGACTCTCAGCTACTACCACACCAACTTTTAGCTCAGCTCCTGTAAAACTGATTGACTCATGGCCAGTTTTGTTTCATGCTAACACTGACGTCACGTGCGCCACAGTATGGCCACACTGACGGGAGCTCTGCTTCTTCCCGCTCTTTTTTGTTCCTGTTGTTTTTGTTGTAACATTTTGTGCCTACACTGCACACCCACGCTACGGGTATGACCGCAACGCACTTTTGGAGTTTTGTGTGTCACTGTCGTGCCATCGTGGTTCAGTTTCCAGCCCACTTCTAGCCTCAGGCTAAGGCTCAAGCCTGTCATGGCAGCCATCTTCATGAACCTACATCTGCCTGCACAGACCGAACTCTACGACCTTGGGTGTTTGCTGTCTGCCGGACCCGGTTCTGGAGGGCAGTTATCGTCCATTGCCGTGGTCATTATTATCATCATGCTGTTAACGGGACCACACTGCTAACAGAACCACACTGCTAACAGTACCATGCTGCTAATGGGACCACACTGCTAACAGTAACATGGTGCTAACGGGACCACACTGCTAACAGTACCATGGTGCTAATGGGACCACACTGCTAACAGTACCATGGTGCTAACGGGACCACACTGCTAACAGTACCATGGTGCTAACGGGACCACACTGCTAACAGTACCATGGTGCTAATGGGACCACACTGCTAACAGTACCATGGTGCTAATGGGACCACACTGCTAACAGTACCATGGTGCTAATGGGAACACACTGCTAACAGTACCATGGTGCTAATGGGAACACACTGCTAACAGTACCATAGTGCTAACGGGACCACACTGCTAACAGTACCATGGTGCTAATGGGATCACACCGCTAACAGTACCATGGTGCTAACGGGAACACACTGCTAACAGTACCATGGTGCTAATGGGAACACACTGCTAACAGTACCATAGTGCTAACGGGACCACACTGCTAACAGTACCATGGTGCTAATGGGACCACACTGCTAATATTACCATGGTGCTAATGGGACCACACTGCTAACAGTACCATGGTGCTAACAGAACCACACTGCTAACAGTACCATGGTGCTAATAGGACCACACTGTTAATAGTACCATGGTGCTAATGGGACCACACTGCTTAATAACAGAACCACACCGCTAACAGTACCATGGAGCTAACGGGACCACACTGCTAATAGTACCATTGTGCTAATTGGACCACACTGCTTAATAACAGAACCACACCGCTAACA